AAACATCAGCTGATCATCAGGTTGAGGGCTATTCAATATCTCACACATACATCCAATTTTTGGTCAGTCCCTCATCAACAGTTTCACTTAATTAGATCCTAGCAAGTTTCGTTTCATTTCTCCATCCTTCACTTTTTATAAAAAAAGTCCTAGACTTTTTATAAAAAAAATGAAGCAGTCGAAAGTAGCCCAGTTAATTGCCCTGGATCATCAGCAGCTGAAAGAGGATTCATAAATTATCATATGGTTATGCAAACTATCTGCTAAATTTCAAAAATTCTAAAGTACAGTCTTTCTTTCACAAAAAAACATTGCCGCAGCTTACAAATGCTTGTTTTTAGTAGCTTAACTTCTGAGTGGTGAAAAGCGCAGGACACTGTGAATCTGCGAGGTATTTCAGTTCTCATTGCATGCTTCTCTGTAGCTGTGCATGTGCTGCTTGTCTCTGTGTTGTGGTTGTTGGTTATTCGTTTTTGTTTTGTTGTTCTAGCAAGTGCGGCGTCGTGGTGGTGGCGGCCTGGAACGACTACAGCGTCAAGCGAATTTTGATAATGGCATGGAAATACCCAGTGAATTTTTGGATGTAAGTTTTGCCGCACTTGCTGAATGCCACTCACTTTTCTATTGTTCGTTTCTTCTAACATTGTTAATGTTTATTTTTTTTTTAATTTCGCACCGGCTGTTATTTTATGGGCATGAACATGGCATATTCGACTTTTTTTTACTGCTTAAACAAGTGATTCAAAATTAGAGGCGGAAAAAAAATTTTTAGCTCTATCTCTTACGCCGAAGATCATGAGTTCGACTACCATTTTTTTACATTCGTTCACTCATTTCGATGGTAAATTGGTACTAAGCCATGCCAGCAAGTCAAAGCCGCTATCGGTTGGTTCTAGGCAACTCTCGAAAGAAGGAACTATCGAAAGTTTTGCTAGCGGATGATTGCTTCTTTCAGTTGTTTCCACTCAAGATAATTTCGAGTGCCTCTGGCTTCTCGAAAAAAGCAAATACAAGGTGAGGGGGAGGGAGTCGCTTGCATCAAGCCTGTTTTAATTTTTTTACGTGCGGTACAGTTCTGCTGCCGACTAAAAGAAGTACACACACACACATACACACACAAACACACACACACATACACACACGAGTTCCTTGTATTAGGCCCAGTGAGTTCATGACTATTTTGCGTTGGCGATGAAATTTCATCCTAAAGCCGTGCAGTTTTGCATCAATCGCTTTCATTTTTATACAGAAATTGAAATCCCCTTTCAATATTACTCTGTGTGGGAAGCAGGAGCTTGTAGAGGTAAACACTACCAGTAGCATTTATTCGCTGGCAAGATTTTCGGTGGATGATTTTTTCGAAGGGTGACTGATAATTAAGCTGAAGGCGGCAGTGCCTCTTTGTTATGGTATTATGTGCACAGTATTTCAGTATTCCATGGAAATTTTCTAATAGATCATAGAAAAATTAGTTTTTTTTGTCCCCACCCGGTGGATTTGGACCACAAAAATAAGCTTATCTGCATGTGCCACTTGCCATTATGCAAATTCTTCAACTTAGATGAAAAGAATGGAGATGAAAATGAAGCTTTGGCTGTTTATCTTGATGAAGGGCTAAAGACGTTGCGGTTTTTCTTTTGTCTGTTAAATTTAAATAATTGTTATAATTTATTGTAAATATGTTAGAAAGTGTTGTTGTGAAATTTTGTTCCGTCTGTTTATTTTTCCTTTTTTTGTTACCAGATAATCTACATCTTTTATTGTTTTCTTTTTTCCAGGAACCGCCGATGTCTTTTTCATCTCTGCGCGATACTCTTCCAGGCACCAGAGTGAGTTGAAATTTTGTACAGTTGTGAGACAAAAATTTTTATTTCAAAAAACTTTCTGTTTGGTATTTCTTTCAGGAATACCAGATTTATTTCAGGGCATTGATGTTCGAGCGAGGAATTTGAAGGAATTCCCTGGAACCGTGAAAAGTTGGCGGAAGAAGTCCATTTTGGATGTTAGTCCCAGAATTCGATTTTTTGCAAAAGAGGAAATTACAAATAATTGAGATGTTCCTTTCTTTTTTAGTATTTACGGCTTTTCTATACCAGTATGAAAATTTTAGATGATACAAGAAAAACTAAGGTCGCAGAAGTATTATGTGCCGCATCGTCGCCCTGCTGGATTAGGATTTGGGATTTGGCGCAAATATGTTCGT